AATTAGCCACACATTCCACAGCCTCCTTCTATTCTTGACTCTCATTCTTCCTCTGTTGCTTCAGGCAAATAGAGACCAATGGTTATGCCTTGGATGGCTGCTTGTAAGCTTTTAAGACTCAGGCACTACACAATGAACTAGGAGGCAGAACAGAAGCACTAAACATGTTATTAGGCCAATCAACCAGGATATCCCATGAAACCATGACTCTAAACCTCCAAACCAAGAAACAAAATCCCATGAGGTTTTTGGTTGCACATAAGCAGCCTAGGCAGCTCTCTTTTTTTTTTTTTTGTTATTGTAACTGTGTCTACCACACAACTTTTGCCAATTAACTTTTTACAGGTATACAACTTATTGACAGCAATTACAGTAATTAACTGTGCAACCCTACCCTTAATCAATGTAATTTTTCCATCACAGTTAACCACCCTTTTTCCCCTCCCTCTCACCCCTGCTAACCACTTACATGTACCTATACATGTACCTTTTAAATGGATTTTATCCCTTTTGTGCCTCTTTGGACCATTCTAGATTATGGTAAATAGAAATAGGTGCACAGGTAACCTTCCCTAGAGCCTTCATTATTTTTAGGAACCTAATCATACTTATTATATTCTTTAAAATCATGAAGAAACTATTGGGAACTTAGAGTTAAAAATAGAACAAGAATTTAACCCTACCTCTTGAAGTCATTAGAAAACAAGGTAAATGAATTGTTTTAGCAAATGCAGGTGTGCCTTATTGGCTGCTAATATCATTATCTTCAATTTCTGTAATTGTCTTAGGACTTGCTCAGGGCTATAGAAGCAAAAGAAGCTCTTGAAAAGGAAGTTAAGATATTTCAAGAAAGGCTGCTTGCTGGCCAGCAGGTCTGGGATGCCTTGAAGCAGGAGCTGAGCCACCTGAAGAAAAGCTCTTATGAGCTGGAGAAGAGTTTGAAGGCCAGTCAGAACGAAGTCGCAGCCTCACAAAGCCAGTACTCCTCATTTAGGCAGAAAATCGCAGCCCTCCTTAAGGGCAGCTGGGGCATGACTGGGGCCACAGAGGACGCCATTTTGGAGAGGATTTGCAAAATGGGGAGCCAGGAGGAGAGCAGGAAAAGGGTGAGTGGGTGATGGTTGTTTATAAACTTAAGAACGGTAAAATCTTATTAATTTGAGCAGACTCAATGAATGATCTCTCTCAATCAGTAAAATGTATGGTTTAAATGTGGTTTTATTACTTTCAGTTATATATAGTTGTAACTACAGGGTCACTATGCGTCAGAATCGACTCGATGGCAATGGTTATGGTGTAGTATCTAGAAGGCTAATAAGTCACTTAAGATACAGTTAACTATCAATGTGGATTCTGGAGTCAGACCCACTAGATCTTGAATCCCGTCTCTGCTGCTTACTCA